GATCTCCAGTCAGAAACACCTCTCCACTGATACTCTGTCTTCCATGACTAAGCCAGTTTTGTATCCATTTTACCAGTTCATTGTAGATCCCATGTGACTTCACCTTTTCTTTTAATCAACCTGCCAAGATGGTCCTTCTCATAGGCCTTGCTAAAATCCATGTAGACAGCAACTATCATCCTGCCCTCATCAATCATCTTTGTCACTTCCTCAAAAAACTCAATCAAGTATGTGAGACATGACCTTTCCCCCACAACATCATGCTGCCTATTGCTGATAAGTCCATATTTTTCCAAATGGAAGTAAATCCTAGCCTTCAGAATCTTCTCCAATAATTTCCTACCACTATCATAAGGCTCACCGGCCTGTAATGTCACAGATTATCCCTGTTGCCCTTCTTAAACAAAGGAACAAGCCATTGAACAAGGATCACCGAGAAGTCCTGGCCTGGGTTGTTTTGTCTGATTCTGCTGGGCTGTCAGGTGGTGTAAGTGCAAATGGTGAAAAACCAGTGGCCCCGGCTACTGTTCCTGTGGAACACCACTTCCATCATTTGTCAATTTGAGAATATAATGTTCACTGCCACTAATAGCCTTGGCTTCCTTTAGCCACTACTCAACTATCCATCCCTGACTGCACATACTTGTACCTTCATAATTCTGTTACAGGGTAACCTATCGAAGGCTCCGGTATTGGAACAAGGATTCATAAAGATGCCCCTTCCTCCTGTATCCGACATTCCATTTCAGAGTTAAAAGCAAGTTATAATAACATAATGTAATATAGTAGTTTCTTTTTGGGAATAGTATGTTGGTGAGGCAAAGCAGCCTCTCTGTGTACTGGTGAATAAAAATGCAGTGAAGATTTGACCTCCAAGCTGTAAGCTTGGAATGGTATTTATGAATTTATTGTGAATAACCAGCCTGATCTGGGAATGAAGTAGAATGGTATGAAAGGCAGGGTGAAAAACATGATCAGTGGTTTACAGTAAATTTGTTATGATTTCAAACATCTTTTGAATCTTAAGTTTATCTTGGAAAAAAAGTGGTAAAATGCTGGAAATACTCAGTAAGTATGGGTTCGATTTTAATCCTTCTTTCTCCCATTGGGAAACTGATAGCATCAGGTGTATGGTCTTGGTTTGATGCCCTGTCTGATTTTTGATGTGGTGGGTGTAAATGGAGAGCACCAATCTCATTGTATCGTGCAGTGAGGAATCTTATGAGTGATTGGGGTATGACGTAAACTGCAATGAGTTTTATAGGTTAGCACTGTTATCATGTCACCACACTCCAGGTATTGTCTTTCTGCAGTTCTGTACCAGTTTGACAGGACATCTTTTGTTTTTCACTTCTCCTAGAAATAAACTTCAATGTTTTGTTTGCTTTTATTTCGCTCTTTGAACTCATATTACTTGAACTGATTTGTATCACAGCCCATTTAGACAATTATTTTCTAAGGACTATGTGGTCTCTTAATTCTTCCCATTAAAATGTTTTGCCTCTCTCATCTATACTGAGGTTCTTTACAGATCCATTTTCCAAGTTTATTCTTGCTTTTTGTCACAGTTCTCCTCTTCTATTTGAACTACACCCTAGCCCTGCCAACAGCTTGGCACCATCTACAGACTTTGAAATTATCTTTGCATAAATGAAATATGTTCAGGAGTCAGAGTGGACGTGATCATTTCTCTGGTTCATTTATCAAAGATATTATTGGAAACAAAAGTCAGCACTTGATGAATTCAGCAGATGCTTTTCAACTGTTCTATGGCACTGACATACATTTGGCAACACATGTCAAGGACTTCATAACAGCAACCTTTTTGGAATACAAATTCTGCAAATTTCAGACTACACCCTCTTGCAATCTGACAATGTAACAATGCAATTCACATTGTTCTCCATCTTTAATAAGCTACAGTCTTCCCCATCTATTTCTCCATTGACGGTTTCTGTTCGCTTGGTCTTCCATTTAATCTCTGTGTTGGTTATGGTGAATAACTACACTTTTTAATATCACTCATGATCTCCTGTGTTCTGGCCAACTGTACCCAAATTTGAATCTACGTGGCCCCAGAAGGGCAATTCAAAGTAAGATTGTCTTTGATCTGTAAGATGCTCTCCCAGTCATCCAATAGCTACCACAAATTCAGTACCAGACCATCCGTTCTGAGCACCCTGCCATGAACTAGATGGCACCTAACAGACTAGCACATTCTGGATGTATGTGAGCAGTGCAGAGGAAGATCCTTACACACCTCTAACTTTTAGCACTGCCTCAGTATACCGCTTTCTCCAAACCTCAAGCATGTTCGCTTTAGTTGTGCTGAAGTGCACAATTTGTTGATTGTTCGGGGATCAGAGAAGTCCTTTCAGCTGTGGCTGATTTGTAATTGAAACTTTAGATTCATTTGGTGAATTTACACCAACTGACAGAAATTAAAGTTGTTTGGGGTATAAAAGCTGCCTCTGATAAGACCATAAAATATAGGAGCAGAAGTAGGCCATTTAGCCCCATTCAGTGAGGTCATGGCTGGTCTGATAATCCTTAACTCCACTTTCCTACCTTTTTTCCTATGACCCTCGATTCCCTTACTGATTAAAAATCTATCTAGGCCTTAAATATACTTATTCTTATTGAAGGTCATAATATAATGATTCTCCAACTCCCATTGATCCCACCTGGGTTCCTCAAAGATCCTTCAGGGCTCTCAAATTTCACTGTGCACTTTGTGGGAGCTCTCAATTGACTTGAAGAGACTTCAACCTTCCGGTTAAAAGACGACTTTCCATTGTAAGTGCTATACAATCCACCCTGAGAACTAAATGCAATAGTGTGTTAGCAGATTTTCACAAATAAAACAAGTGCCAAAGCATCCAGTAGGATGGCTCACAATTGCTGATGGTTGGGGTCCAAACCTGAACGGGCCTCATGTCTTTTCCAGAATGAATGAATGCTGAATCCAGCCGCAGGAACGTCCGACAGAATGGCAAAAAAGCACCTTTAAAAACCACTGAAATTGACAAATGGGAAATTATCCAGCCTATTGGTGATGCTGTAATGAATTTATCTAAAATTAGCAAGCAGATAAGAATTGCTCAGTAGGTTCCTCAGCTTCTAATATTGCTAATATTATGAAATGTGAATGAAACCGTTACTTGATTTGTTGGGAACTTGCTGCCCATCAGTGTACGGGGGAATAGCGATAAATACAATCGGAAATAACCATGGTTCAATAAGGATGAAGGATTCACTGTATAAAACTCAACTGGGGGCATTGACTGGGTGAGGACATGGCCAATTTGAGTTGGGTAAATAACCAATCGATATTTAATATGTAAACTGTGGGTAAGCATGAAGACTACTGACGTTCCATAGGGAAGGGGGTTAGTAAAGTCAAGTTGCCATAATCTTACCAGACAATAGGGCTGCTCTCTCATTAGAGCGAGAGATGACTGGTGGTGATTTAACCTGAGGGCCACCACACCTCAGGCATGGGGGAAGAGGTTGAGAAGGAGAGTCTTTCATGGTAACCTCAGCTGGTGATATGGATTGAACCCATGCTGTTAGCATCATACTGCTTGATAAACCAACCATCCAGCCAACTGAGCTAAACCAACCTCTGGTTAGTAAAGTAATCAAATTGAGAATGACATATTGAGTCTAATACCAATGCCAAACCTTGGAGATATCAGAGACTACATTGAGAATTCTGTGTTGAAGAGAAACTAGAACATGGTATTTATAAGAAAACTTGCTGCTGCTCTGGATGTGCTTTACTATATCAAACTCAAACATGCCTAGTTTGTCTCTGAACATGCATTATCAGCAGGGAAGTAGCCATTTCCTGTGTGATTTATTTTAACATTGCGCAATGGGCGGTTGCTATGTGTTCAGAAATATAAAAGATATATGTATATTTATACACTACTCTTTGGTTAGCAGATTTTAAATCTTTGCACATCCCTTTTCTTTGCTTAGTCAAACTGTCCCTCACCAATCTGCTCCTCCAATCAGTGACACAAATATTTAGCCAGCTCGTGACTCGCCTTGAATAATCTCACATGCATCAGTGAATACAGGGAGAATTGGTGATCTGTTCTTCTGGCCCTGCCTGCAAGGGGCAGCGGGAGGTGGCGATCACAAAAACAAATGTGCAGAGAGGGGAAAAATAGCAGAGCTGAACGTGAGTTGCTGCTGTTCAATACTGTCTGTTTGAGCTTCTCACACAGCTAATGAATTATCAGTGTGTTTCATTCTCCCATTGCTTGGTGACCTGAACATTTTCTTTTTCTTTTTTTTTTCCTCCCTCCTCTTCGCTGTTTTGAACACTGAAGTGGTTTTTGATCTCATTCAGTTAATATTTACAACGAGAGACCACTGAAACGTGTTTGCTCACAGTCAAGTGAGAGATCACAGATCCTTGTGACAAAGCTGTTTCCAGGAGTCCAACTTATTTCAGAACTCGCGAGTCCTTTTGCTTTTAAAGGGAAGAGATCTTATTCAAAATTTGTCGTGCAAACCTTTGAAATTTAATGCTTCAATAATTTGGCAGAAGATTAGGGGGTGGAGCGGTAGGGTAGTTAAATGAGACTGTTTAAATTATGCAGTGAGTTGTTACAACCTGGAGTTTGCTGCATGATGAACTGGCAGAAATTGTTTAAATAGTTAAGTTTTCAAGAGAGAATTGGATATAAATTTGCAACTGAAAATATTTCAGTGTTGTGTGGGGGTGGGAGGGGAAGGGTTGGCGAGTATGGTTAACGGCTAACTCTTTCAAAGAGCTAGTACAGGCACAATGGTCCAAATGGACACTCGCTGTACCATGTGATTCAGTGATCCTTTCGGGGCAACACCTTGGTTCTGAAACTTTGTTGGTTGCTCAATGTTTTTGAGATGAACAGTGCGTTGGTTAGTGTGTTTGGTGCTCACTCTAAGATCACCTACAGCAGAGGTAACCATGGATTTTTTTTCTCTTTCTGTCTCCCCTCATACAGCTTAATCGGGCTTCAGTGAATTCGCCATGAATGGTGATTCTGAAAGTCCGGATTCTCTACAACACGTTCCAGACTGGAAGGAGTTTTGTGAAGTGCAGGCACGAGCTGCAGCGGTTGAATTTGCCCAGAAATTCCGGATATTTATAAGTGAGAATCCCCACTACGAGTGCCCAGGGATAGAGACCACTTTCTCACAACACTTTGCCTCCCATTTTGTGGAATACTTTGCCTCGGAGGTGAACAGGCCATATCTGTCTGACTCCCCGATCAAATATAACGTTGCTCCATTTTCGGACATCCAGAACTGCCAGCTGCCTTATGGCAAAGAAATCCTCCAGAGGAAAGTAAACTCTGATTCCCTTGAGAGTATAGACAGCACGTTGAACTCGAGCAGGTACCTGAGGCAGGCGCAGGTCTGGGACATGTCGAACTTTGGCCATTCCAGGAGCTCGGAGGATGTTTCTGTCACTGCTTCTGGCAGGTCAAAGTTTAAGAAAGGGTTTTCTCTGCGGAACATGAGCGTGTGTATGGTCGATGGAATGAAGGAGATTTTACAATGGCGCTCCTCTGCCGAGCCACTGCTGGATGCTGGGCAGGGCAAAAGGTCTATGAATCAAGACTCCTCGGGGAGTAAATCGGAAAGTGAGGTCCGGGACAGATGGAGCCACAAACTGGAACGTTTGCGCTTGACCCGATCCTCATCTGCTAAAGTGGAATTGCTGGATATACAAAGAGAAGGCACTTTGAGGTACATGGTAGCTGATGACTCTAACTCGGTGAGCAGTACACAGTGGCAGAAGTGTCGGCTGTTGTTACGAAAAGCGGTCAGGCTGGAGGGAGAACGCTTCCTCTTGGAGTTTTATGTACCACCAAAGGTAAGATAAGAAGATCCAGGATGTGAGAGAGCTGGAATTTACTGCCCATGTCGGGTACTACCGCAACCAAATGCTGCTGGGGATTAAAGAGATAAGTTATGGTGCACAAACTTGTGTCCCAGAAGGTTGAGCACAGTCAGAATAAAACATAGGAAATGGTAAAGGATAACGAGATGTAGAGCTGGATGAACGCAGCAGGCCAGGCAGCATCAGAGGAGCAGGAAAGCTGACATTTCGGGTCTGGACCCTTCTTCAGAAAACTTCTGATTCACTTCATTTCATTCTGAAAATTTCTGTTCATCTAGCTCTACGCCTTTGTAATGTCAAACTCCAGCATCTGCAGTTCTTACTATCCCGGAAATGGTAAGGTCTCTTGTAGCATTCCTACCTCTGGACCGGTTGATGGAGGTGTTAGCACAGATTTTTTTTTAAAAAAAGGCCTTTCACGGGGCCGATTGGATTGGATTCTGGATTCTGAAACCAGATTCCAGGCCAAGGGTTATAACTTTAAAATTAGCTGGCTATTTAGCAATGAAACTGTGAAGCAGCTTCACTCCTAAGTTATAGAAACCTGATTGTCTCTTCTTCCAAAACGCTGTGTCTAGTGGGAATTGTTTTTTTTTGAGGCTGAGGTTTATAGAGGTCAGAGTATTGAAAGAGATGGAGCAAGTGATTAAATGAAGCTGTATCAATCAGAGGAACTGACTTGAGACGCTGAATGCTGTTGCTGTTCCTGTGCCCTGATGGACTGCGATTGTTCTGCATTGAGATTGATTGATTGATTGATTGATTGATTGATTGATTGATTTTCTTTTCATCTGAAAAAAAAATGCAGTCACAGATTCATAGAGATGTACAGAACAGAAACAGACCCTTTTGGTCCAACTCGTCCATACCAATCAGATACTCTAAACAAATCTAGTCGCATTTGGCCCATAACCATCTAAACCCTTCCTATTCATACACCCATCCAGATACCTTTTTTTTAAATGTTGTAATTGTACCAGCTTCCACCACCACCTCTGGCAGCTCGTTCCATACACACACCACCCTCTGAGTTGAAAACGTTGCCCCTTGGGTCCCTTTTTAAATCTTTACCCCTCTCACCTTAAACCTATACCATCCAGTCAAGGGATAAATTTGTCGGGAAGGATAATGAGTGAGACGAAAGGAGATATTCACTCGGGGTCAAGAATAAGAACAGACAAAATAGGTGCAAGAGTACACCCTTTGGCCCTTTTTGAGCCTCCTCTTCCCCCCACCCCGGATCAATAAAATAATTGCTTCAATGTCTCCACCTCTGCACATCCCCTGATTCCCTAAAGACCAAAACTCAGCCTAGCCCATTCTCTCATATATTCAACAATGGAGCATCCAAAACCCTCTGAAATAATGAATCCCAAAGATTCACAACCCTCTCTGAGGGAAGAACAGCTTCTCATCTCAACCCGAAATGATTGGTCCCTTTTATCCTGAAACTCTGTCCACTATATTCCACATTCATAGCAAGCAACTCTCTGTTATCTTCCGTGTTAAGTCCCTTCATAATAAGAATAAAACATAGGAAGTGGGAAGTCTCTTGTAGCATCCCTACCTCTGGACCAGAATGTCAGGCTTCAACATCCACCTGCCCCAGAGGTATGTCTGAGCAGATTGATGGAAACAGCAGGAGGAAGCCTGTTGAGCTTGCTCTACTCTTCCATGTGATCATAGCTGAACTGATTAAGGCCTTAGCTCCATTTTCCTGCATACCCCCTAAAAGTCCTGGACTGCCAGGTCTATGAATCCATTCAAAGTGGATTGTCAGATTTTTAAATGACCTAGCCACCACTATTCTATGTGGAAGTGAATTCCAATGGCTAGTGGTCCTCTGAGAGAAGGAATTCCTCCGCTTAATAAAGGATATTCTGTTCTTTTGTTTTTAAATGGCACCCTTCCTAATTTTTCAATTATGTCTCCCAGTTCTTGATTTCCCCTATGAGGTGTTGCATCTTCTCAGCATCTACTCTCTGTCAAATGCCCCTCAGAATCTTAAAATCTCAATGAGATCATCTCATTCTTGTAATCTCCAATTGGTATAGGCCCACTACCTCAAGTAAGCAAATTAAAAATTCACATGCTATTCTAGATGTGGTCTCACTGAGGCACTGCAGTTATAGTAAGTCTTTCCTATGTTTGTTTGGACTCTCTCCACCTCGCAATAAAGGCCAACCTTCCATTGGTCTCCTGGCTTTTGCCTGACCTACTTGGTAACGTTTTGTGATTTGTATACTAGGACACCCAGATCCCTCTGTACTGCAGCATTTTGCAATCTTGCTCCATCTAAATAATCTTCTGCTTTACTATTCTTCCTGCCAAAGTGGACCACCTCACATTGTTCTGTATTATATTCCATCTGCTGAATCTTCACCCACTTACTTAACCTGTCTATATCCCTTAGCAGACTCCTTGTATTCTCCTCACATCCAGGTCCAATGCAACTGCTGGACGAACTAGGCTGTTGACTAGTGCAGCAGGATTTGGGGGATGTGGGTGGCAAAAGCCGGCGAACTCTTTGAAAAGAAACATTGGAACTGCCAAAGACTTAGCACACTGCCTGAAGGTCAGAAGTAGCAGAACCCATTCCTGGTTCCTGACAGACATTCTTGACATTTAAATTATCATCAGTTAAACAATAGATAATGTACTAATAACTTTCGTGCTTAGTCTAAGTCCTTATTTGGGCCCCACTAATCCCCAGATGTCTCTAATCTTTCTTTAAAATGGTAATCTCCAACTTGGGTCAGGTGCGATGATCAATCTGTTTTCTGACTAACCTATCTTAAGGTTTGAAGAAATTCTTATAGAATCATACAGCACGGAAACAGACCCTGCTACCCAACTCACCCATGCTGACCAGGTTTCCAAAACTGAACTAGTTTCTTTTGCTTGTGTTTAGCCCATATTCCTCTAAACCTTTCCTCTCCATATACCAGTCCAAATGTTTTTTAAATGTTGTAATTGTACTTGCCTCTACCACTTCCTCTGGCAGCTGCTTCCATATATGCACCACCTTTTGTGTGGAAAAAGTTGCCCCCTTTTAAGTCTTTCCCCTCTTAATGTTAAAGTTATGCTCTCCAGTTTTGGACTCCCCTACCCTGGGGAAAAGACCTTGCCTATTCACCCTATCCAAGGCCCCTCGTGATTTTATAAACCTCTGTAAGATCACCGCTCAGTCTCCCATGCTCCAGGGGGGGAAACAAAATCCCAGCTTATCCAGCCTCTCCTTTTAACTCAAACCTCCAGTCTCAGTAACATCCTTGTAGATCATTTTTGCATCCTTTCCAATTTAACAACATCCTTCCTATAACAGGATGACCAGAATTGTATACAGGATTCCAAATGTGGGTTTACCAATGTCGTAACATGACATACCAACTCCTGTATTCAGTGCTCTAACTGATGAAGGCAAGCATGCCAATTGCATGGGATTTGTATTTAGTCTGCCAAACATCACTCTCTAGTTGATAGATCTTTAATTTGATGCGACCTATTTGAAAGTAAATCCAAGTTTAGCAAAATTGCCAAATGTGATGTTTAATTCAGATGAAACAATCTCAATTAATGAACATGTTTCTCAACAAATTTCAGTGGTGCACGTTAACTAGCCAGATAGAGAGAATTGGTTTTACTGGGGTCCTTGTGGAATAAACTAGTGAGGTGTCAGTGAGATTTTAGTTTCTGATACACTAAACTTTTGTAGACTATGGAGAGAAGGCAGAAACAGAATTGCCAAAGAGGTGAGAGACCCAAATTTTCCCTTGGCTTGTGTCTCATTCCCTATATTTAAGGCCAGTGAAGATTTTAATTGTTGCAGTAGCATTTCCAGTTGAAAGAATTCCAACAATAAATAAAGTGCAAACTGACTGACATTTTAATTCTGAGATGCTGTGTGAATAAATACCAATTGAGAGAGAATTTGATTCTGAATTCCATTTCAGGTTTAGTTAACCCTGGCTGTCCTGCCTGATTAATGGATTTTTCTAGTTCCTGGAAGGCATTGCACCTTTCTACCTCCTCTGCACTCAGGTGGAAATGCCATTAGTTGAGTTTGTACTATCAAACAGTATTTATCAGCTACTGGCACCACAGTGACTTACTGCAAACAGGAGCTGTTTCCAACCCACTCGCACTAACACAGGACTTAGCAGCGGGAGACTGTTTGCTTGATAAGATCGTGGCCAATCTAATTATACTCTCAACTTTACTCTGTACCCCACAGCAAAAGTGCTCTTTAGTAGTAACAGCCATAATATAATTGAATTTTACATATAGTTTAAAGGATACAAGTATGGGTCCAAACCTATTGTTTTGAATTTAAACAAGGGTAATTATGAGGGCATGAAAGCAGAGTTAGGGAAAGTGAACTGGTAATTTAAGGTTAAGGTAATTCAGGTTAAGGGATATGTCAGTAGAAATGCAGTGGCAAACATTTAAAGGGATATTCCAGAAAGCACGGAATAGATACATTCCAACACAAATAAGAAAAATTCTAAGGGACAAACCATGATTAACTTAAAAAAGTCTAAGATAGTATCAAAGTCAAAGTAAAGACATATAATTGTGGAAAATATGCAGCTTGACAGGTTATAAAAACAGCAAAGAATTATTAAAAGATTAATAAGGAGGGAAAGAATTAGAGTATCAGAAAGAGTTAGGCAAATATATTAAAGGAAAAGTTTCTGTGAATTATTAAGAATTCTCTGCCACTGAAAATGGTTGATGCCAAAACATTGAACATTTTCGAGAAGGAGTTAGATATAGTTCTTTGGGCTAAAGGAATCAAAGGATAGGGAGAGAAAGCGGTAATGGAGTAATGGGTTGGATGATCATCTATGATCATCTTGAATGGCAGAACAGACTCAAAGGGCTGAATGGCCTGCTCCTATTTTCAATGTTTGTGTTAAAAAGGAAAGTATTGATCCTAAACGAGTCTGGGGAATGAGTAATGGTGGATTAGG